AGGCAAATGGCACTGAACTTAGGATACGTGCGCCTGGACAGCGCGCTACAACGATCGATGCCAGACATGGAATTCAACGCCATCTACTTCACGTCATGGAAGCTGGACTCTACAGGCTGGGTATACCTCTTGTGTTCCCCCGACTACTGCACGAGGCCTTGTTTGCCGCTGGCGCGTTTACCTTTTATAACGAGGTGTCACCATATAACGCTCTGTTTGGTCGGCAACCAGCAGTGCTCCCTGACCTACCCGCCCTGGGCCACGAGCAGCCGACGGAGACGTCGGACCATTCTCGTGAGCAGACGATACGCAGAGTATGTATTGAAGCTTTCACACAGGCCACAGCAGTAGCTAAGACCAATCGTGCATTACGCATTAAAACGACCATTACTGGTCAGCACTATGATGATGTAGGAGACTTGGTCGATTATCATCGCCCCGCGACCACGAAGGATGATTTGGGAGTCTGGAATGGCCCGTTCCCAGTGGTAAAGCATGATCCCGAAAAGGGATCAGGTCATCATCCGAGTGGGCAATCGAGATGTTCAAGTACAATACGGCGATGCAATGCATTCATTATACTTTGAAACACTAATAACCCTAGAAATTGGCCCCGACAGCGCTGCGCGACGCACAGTGTTGACATTCGTAGCCAGCCTATCGGCGGGGAGACCTGCTCTGACCTTTGGCTCTGTGCCGACCAAGGAAGGGGCGCTTCAGGTGACGACTGACTGCCAGCCCTCTATCTCCCAAGGTACATTTAGCGTTACAGTGCTTTATCAGAAGCTTCTTCCGCATTGTGAATGTAGTTTCAATCAGGTTAGCCAAGAGTATTCATGAGCTGCCTTCGGTTACTTATGCCGACAGCTGCACATTGGTCCACTGCGACGACGACGTGAATCCAGGATCCCATTATTATGAAGCAGAAGGTACTGCCCTGAATATACACGATATAACTGGTTCAGCACATTCGAGAATTATACAATGCCTGAAGTCCACTAAACCTTAGGCAGGTTTTGTTGATCAAGACATGTCAAGATTTGAGGAATTAGCAGATGCACCGACACGGGGGAGGGGGCCACAAGAGAAGCCTCAGAAGCCGAACCACCACATGATGATGGGCGGCTTTCTTCGATTTACAAAGAATCAGAGGCTGATCTCGAGTCGCACGTTGCGGAAGTGTGGTATGCAGAACCACGAGAGGAAAAGGAACTGCTGGGGACAACTCCACCAGATAACCTCTTTGCCATACCTACACAGATGGTTCCAGATCAAAGTGTGCTGATGATGAACAGCGGGGGCACCTGCAGAAGTGGGGGCGCACTCGCGACTCCGACACCGAGGAGACGTACTACGTCCCAATGTGCACCATGGTCGAAGTCGTCAACTACGGACTGGACTCATATGGAAATTGTCGGTCCGCTGAACTCTGCTCTACGACAGAAATGTCAAAGGTCGTCCTGTCCGAACAACAATATATGATACTAGATGCCGACCGGGTGACCATTATGCGAGTTCACGTGCCCGCCGCTGCACAGCGAGCTGTGGTCGTCAAGGAAGACGACCTCCTCGCGAAAGCTGTCATCCAGGCTAATCCCGATCAAAAACATCGAAGGCCCTCTGCACTGAACTCGAGACATGATTCGACAATAAATGCTTGAATATGCAATATAGAGCTAAAGCGTCGAACATCATGACTTCGAGATACGTGTGCACATGGAAGTTCGTGAAGAACGAGAAGGGCGAGATGGAATGTACCATCAGACAACGCTTGGTTCTCCGAGTTTTAATGGGCCTTAAAGTCTTCGACGTAGGAACATGTTCGGGAACGGCGCGACGGTCAAGCCAGAGGGTACTCGCTAGCACGGCAGCGTGCAAGCAGAAATGGGTCATTGCTTCCCTCGACATCAACATGGCCCTCCTGAAGGGACTAACCTATCAGGTTCACTGAGGCTACTGGTGAAAAGGAACGCGTGGTGTGTTTTACTCTGCCGCCTGGATCGGCGACAGTGCTCCGAACTCTCCCAGGATTCGAGCACTACGACGAGTCAAAGCACTGCCTGCAGTGTTTAAAACCAGGCACAGGCACCAAAGACGCACCGCGGGGCTTTCTCACTAAAGCTGAGAAGAACCAGCAGAGGTTTCGGTCTCCGACCCACGTCCTACGACGAGGAGTTCGAGACGAGCAACAACTTGCTCACAGCCAATCATGTTGATGACATCAATATGGCCGGCACTGAGGACACCATTGACAATTATGTCAAGTACAAGAAAAGGAAACCTCTGGTAAGTGTAAAGTCAACAAGCACACATGCACCAACTGTGCTGTGGTATACACCAAAGATGAGGACGACAATGTCACGTGGGGCCAAGATGAAGACATCAAACAGCTCCGTCCTATACAACATCCTGAACTGACCGGCGCCGACGCTGACGCGCAGGCAACCAAGATGGTTGCCGACATGATTGTCAGTCTCAGGGGTGCGCTGTCGTATGCATTAATCACCCAGGTGTGGTTGATGGTGTATGTTGTTTCTTTACAACGTGTCCAAGAACCGACCGACATCCAAGTGCGACGACTGAGCGCGATCACCAGGAAGCTACAGGCCTGCCCAAAGAAGATCGTCTACCAGGCGATGAATCCTACGGGCGAGGTCGACCTACATAGCGACTTAGGGTACCGACGCCTGAGTGGAGATGCCGATGACGACGTCAAAGGCTATGGTATTCGCGGGGCAAACCTGCTGCGACGTGGAAATACGCCACATGGTAAGCCGGTCGTTCACTTGATCGACGCGTACTGCAAGTCGCATCGCTTGCAGGTCCGCTCGAGCTAGTCAGCAAAGACACTAGCAGCAGCTCCTAATTCGGATGGCTGTTATTCCACGATTGTGACTCTGCACGATTCCACGCAGGGCCGCTCACGCCCACTCAGTTGAAAGATATACTTGAGGTGGGTGGCCTGAGCATCAAGGTCACCTTGACCATAGACGCTGAGTCTGTTTTTAAGTCCTTGTCAAGCAAAGACTTGAAGCAACCGATTGGATGTACCCTTTTTAGGACACATCAGTTGGATACGACAGATGATGGAGCGCGGAATCGTGCACAACATCCAGTGGTGCGACACCCGCGATATGACTGCGGATGGTCACACCAATGGGAGCATCGACAGAGACATGCTCCTACAAGTCATGGGAGGTATACAGGCCTTCGAACATGACCTGAAGAGACATACTCCATATCGGGCCAGCCAGACATCAAGTTCTGACGCCGCCTGATGAGTATGTCAAGTACAGAACTGTACAAGCGAGGCAACTTGCGAGCGGTTCACCTTCTCTTTGGCCCGCTCCCTCTTCTGTCCTTGTGTACGGCAGCTGCTGTGCCTGCTGCATAGGGGCGACGGGCTCACGCTTCGTTTCCCTCCCCCCGTCTCTAAAGCGAGCTGAGGGACATAAGGAGTGGAAGCGAGCGTGCGCCCGCGGCGGCGTCGTCTCAAGCGGCCGGCCGCCCAAATATGATTGTGCCCCACTGCGAGGCACACAATCGCCATCGAGACCAAAAGGATCTTCCCATTGCTTAAGATGGCACATCCTCTCCTACTGGGACTATCGGTACTACGGTGCGACAGAGCTGGAGCTTGGCTTCGCCAAAGGCGAAGTTGCTGGCTGGGCTTCCCAGCCCCCTTCAAACTCCTCCTCCTCCTCGGCCTGGTCCTTCGGAGTCTTCCTCTCTTCCTCCTCCTGAGAGGAGCGGAGGAGAGGAGGTGATGAGAGGAGAGGAGGAGACGAGAGGAGACGAGAGGAGGGGAGGAGAGGAGGAAAGGAGAAGAGAGGAGAAAACGAGAGGAGAGCAGAGGACATCGGCACCATCATCGTTCCTATCGGCACTCCTAAACATTACAGGCGTGTTCGTCATCGTCAGCATCACTAGGGCTCCCAGCATCGTCATCAACATCGTCGTCGTGATTGCCATCATCCTCAGCGTCATCATCATCGCTCATTCTTATCATCCTTATCATCATTATCATCAGCATCACCATCATGATCATCTTTGTCGTCGTCATCATTATCATCACCATCATCATGATCATCGTCCTCCTCATCATTATCATCATCGTCATCATCATCACCATCATTTCCATCCTCATCCTCATCCTTATCCTCATCGCCATACTCATCCTAATCCCCATCGCTGTCGACAGCATCGTCATGATCAACATCATCATCATCATAATCATCATCATCATCATCATCATCATCATCATCATCATCATTATCAATATCACGATCCCCCTCCATCGTCGTCAATGTCATCGTCATCACCAGCATCCTCCTGCCTATCCTCAGCGTCGTCACAATCGTAGTACGAAACATCAGAATATGCAATATCATCATCATTATCATCATCGTCATCGTCGTCACAGGCATCATGCTCACCCGTACCAGCCTCGCCGCCACCCTCGTCGTCCCAGTCGTGGTCGTCGTCGCACTTCCCATCAACATTGGCACCAGCATCAGCAAGATCATCGACATGAGACGCATCGTCATCGTCATCGTTCCCATCCTCATTATGACCCCCTTATCCTCAACATCATCGTCGTCGCTACCATCACCAAGGACCAGGGGGCCCCCAGGACTCCGAGCCTCCGGATGGGGCCACCCAGGGCCGGATAGGGCCACCAAGAACCTCCCGAGGGGCCACCGGGAGCCTCCCGAGGGGCCACCGAGAGCTTCCTGAGGGGCCACCAAGAGCTTCCCGAGGGGCCACCAAGAGCTTCCTGAGGGGTCACCAGGAGCCTCCAGAGGTGTCACCAGGAGCCTCCTGAGGGGCTGCGAAGAGCTTCGAACCCTAACCTCCGAAGTTTGGGGATTCTCCCCTCCAGATTCCAGTAGAATTGGAAGAGGGGATTCCCTAAACTGGGAGTTTAGAGATTGAACCTTTGGATTCCAGTGTTTTTCGGATGATGAGCACTTCGCTTCATGGATATTCCTTGTCGGCAGGCGGTGGGGAGTACATGACCAGGTACCTGGGATGCGTCGACGAGGAACAGTGCAGCGAGGCGTTGCCATCCATCACGCGCAGCGCAAAGGCGGAGCTCCGCAGGTGCCACGTGGGCCTCACGGACCAGTTCAAGACAACTCTGGCTTACTTGAAGATACTGCTGCCCTGGCTCGATCTGGAGTCGATTGCCGATATCCACGCGCGCCCTGCGTCATATGTTGATGGGAAAGAGCTGATGCAGAGGATGAGGGAGACAGAGAGGGGAGACGCGATGCTGCGATGGTACGCCCCGGACCAGAATATCTACGACTACGGCAGGGGGCTCTTTTTCAACCAGACCAGGCACGCGATCAGATGCTACGGGGAGAAGGCCGAATCCGATGAGACCAAGAGTTTGAGGCTGCTGCGAACCGTGTCCCGGAAGGTGCGGCGAAAAAGCGAGGATCACAAGTGGATGGTCGCGACCTGCGTCGAGAGGGCGGTCTGGTGCCGACAGGACGTCTTCCAAGACATGTGCACGTGCTCCCTCGAGGAGAGCCAGTGAGTCTCTGTGCAGTCGCCGTGGGGGCCCTTTTGTGGTTGCCACGCTGGCGTGCGGAAGATCTGTCTCCAGGCCGCAAAAGATGAGCGTCGCGATTCTGGTGCAGTCACGTGGGGCAGCAGCCTGTTGCTGGGGCAGGCGGCCGCAAGCGCAGGTGCATCATCCGCCTCGAAGCGTTGCTCGCTGTCTTAACTTCGACTTCAGTACCACCATCCTGCTGCGTCTTCTCTCTTTCCATCCTCTCCCCTCCCCCGCCTTCTTTTCCCTTCTTGCCGCGCTGCAGCGAGTCCTCGACAGCCAGGGGCCGTGAGAGAGAGAGAGAGAGGGAGGGAGATGAAGCCTTCACCTGCTTCGATTAGTGGTCAATCGTGCTCGGTCTGATGCTCGTGAATCGTCAATCGTGCTCGTCAGTCTAGGGGCGCATGCTTGGTACTCGGTCAATCGTCCAAAAGTTGCTCCCTCCCAGGTCCCCCCCTCCTCAAGTACCCGATGCAGGAACGAGTTTTCTTCCTCGCCAGACAGTGCGCCAAAACGCGCCGTGTGGACAGCGGGGTGGGTGGATGAACTGGACAGTTGCCAGTTTCATCTGGTCCTGACTCATGCGGTTCACATCCCTGCTTCTTTGGGTGCCTTGCTGAGACAATTTACTTGACTTTCCTTGCGCCACCTGTTTATGGATGTGAGGCTGGTGGGGCGGGATAGCCGAAGAAGTTGTGTGGCTGAGAGTGTTCAGACTCCGCCGGGAGCTGACAGTTTCAGCACGGCTCCTTGCGATCTTTTCTCAAAGCCATGAGCTGATCGTGCACATCTGAGCATTCTCATGCTCAGAGGGAGGTAACCTACATGGGGGAACCATCACATAGCGGACCTGGTGCGGCCCCAGTTTGCGATACTTCCTCTCCCGCATGCAAAGGCACGCATTGCAATGCAAAGCATTTGGATACAGTGCATTGCGTAACACTGCAATGCACTGCACTGTATGTGTTGGGAGACCTGCGTTGCATACCGTAGCAATTGGTAGCATGGTATTCCATACACTGGCACGGAATACCAGTACATGCCATTGTATGGTATCGCATAGCGTGCCATATCATATCAGAGCATGGCGCAGCCAAGCACGGCGAGCCACATCATAGCATGCCACACCCTACAACGGATGTACAATTGCATAGCATAGCACGGTGCAAAGTAACGTGGCGTCGCGCATCTTTTCATTTGATAGCATTGCATATATGGCAGGGTCGCGAAGTACCGCATGGTGTAACTTGTCGTAGCACAGCGTTGCAGATTGTGGCATACCGTAGCAGCATACTTTGGCATAGCATAGCGCACCACAGTAATGATTGATATGACCATGCACATCCTAGGATGAAATGGCGTTGCACGACGTAGCGTAGCAATGCGTAGCATGGCATCGCTCTCCATGACATAATAGCGCATGAACACAGCAATGCATCGCTTTGTATAATTTGGTTCAGCTTTACTCTGGACTTCGAGTTACGAATCGCCATACTATAACGTACGAGGGGCCAGCGGCGTTGTGCCTAGGAGCCAACTCCAGGGGAGACACCACAAGAGAAGACGCTTTAGGCAAAGTCTGATTCAGAAGGACAGTCTCCAGATTTTCGATGCGGATGGCTCAGCTGCCTTTTCACATGATCCAGCGCTGGCCTGCTCTAGTTTCTACGCATTTCTGTCATTCGTGACACTGTTTTAGTTGTTGACGTCTCTTCTTTAATTCTTGACGCTCCGACAAGCAGCTGGGCGTCTCGTACGACTCGCTTCCACCACTACCCCACATGGTGGGAACCAACCGACGCCCCAAGACTTCTAGCCGCTGCACTCCCCAGGACACGCTCCTCCAGTTTCCAGCAGCATGGAGCAGTACCACCTGCCGTTGCCGACGGCACAGGGTGCACCCAGGAATGGAGAACCTGCACGCCCTACTCAAGCCCGAGGCGATCGACACTGAGCTCACGGGCTCCCTAGTTGGAGTCGACGGGCAGCCACTCAACCCCCACACGCTCAGAGTGCTGCTGGTAGTGATGATGCTGCAGTTACGCGAGCCCCGTGACACACTTTGGCCCTTCCCGAACCCAGAGGCCACTGGCGACATCTTCGAGGCCATGATGGGTCTTTGCATCCCTTGGCAGGAAGCGCACAAAGGGTTCCGCACACAGTATGCAGAGACGTGGGGGTACCGGTTGGCAGACCTCGAAGCTCTCCACACCAAGCTCGCCGAGGTCATCCACCATACAAGTACCTCGGCCACATTTGCCCACCACCACGAGGTTGCAGGCAAGTGCGGCTGTCCGAAAACGTGGGCTGGGATACAGGCGCACAATTTCACCCTGGAGGCCCCCCTACGCGTGCTGGAGGCCATTGTACGGCCCGCTGACGTCAAACAGCTGCACGTCGGAGAATGCTCCATCTGCCTGCTGCACACTGCCCTGGCGGGTTCAGAGGTAGGGCTAGGATGCCCGCAGACCATGGACGACCTCCAGTACATAGGTGGCGGGAAGGCCATCTCCAACCACTGACTCGACGAAGACATCCCTGCCTCCCCGGCCCCAGGTACATCCCTGGTCCCCCCCGTTGTGCGCGATGAGCGCTTCAGCAGGCGGCAGAAGGACGCCACCTATAACTGCGACGGGTGCTTCAACGTGGGGCTCCACGGCACAGCAGATACCTGGGAAGACGACGTCACCCGGGAATTACTCGCGCAGAACCGTGCGCAGGCGTTTACGGATGGAAAAAACTGCAGATGGCTCTGCGAGCGCTGCTGGGTCGTCTCACTGGAGAAGAAAGGTATCCCCCTCCCCGATCCCGACTCCTCCGAGCGCACCGGCAAGAGCATAAACGCAGATTAGACGACAACCGGGCGCAGAAGAGGGCTAGGACCCTTCCCTCTCTGTCCAGGTTACCGCTGGGGTACGGGGAGCCATCGGACAAGGCTGCCCTGACCTCCGTCAAGGGGCTCACCCTTCGTACGCCACGCCATTTCCGCCCAGCCAGTGCAGGCACCACGCTACCGCCACAAAGGCTCTCGGACGGCAGATTCGGCACTGAGGCGCACCATACCAACTGCTACTCGGCCACGTGCGACTTCTGTCCCCCCTACTCCCCACTGCTCGAATGGCCGGCGGGCGCACCCGCCCTGGGGTGCTTCATATGGCGTCCAGAGGAAGATGCCGACTGCAATGAACAGACAGGTCTCCCAGCATGGGAGGCAATGCCGTCGTTGTGGATCAAAAGGCAGTGGAATGCCAGTTGGGCTTGCTGGAGGTGCCTGGTACACATCCGGGACCTTGCCCCCAGTGTCCTCGACAGTGTGCTGGACCTATGCTCGAACGAAGTTTACCCCGCCACCCCCACCAAGAGGCCCGCCAATAGCGAGGGCTCGGAGGACTGGGACATCTACGACATGTCAGCTCACCTCCAATCAGCCCAGCGCCGGCCACTGGTTCCAACCCACCGACGGCAACGCCCGACAGCCTCCCTGGACACGCCTCGCGCCCAGTGGGGGACCCCGACGACGGAGCTGCCCACAGGTACGCTCTACCGCCTCTCCCACCGCCCAATGCACCCCAGCTACCCACATACTCCACCCTCTGGCTTGGTGGAGAGCAGTCGTGCGTCCCCGTTCGCGAGCTGGTCAAGTTTCTGATTGAGTGGAACCACGCGGTTCACACCCTCTGGACGGCCTTCACGCAGCGCTTGGGCAGGGAAGTAGTGGGTGACGTCACCGATGGGTCGGGATGGCCACACGAGCACCTGGTGCGCTTCCTGGAATCCATCTACAGGGGCGAGATCCCCAACAATGGTCATCCCCCCTCATCCCCTGGGACGGACAGAGTGCCGCTGCGGCCAATGTCATCACGCAACTGGTGGGGAGGAACCAGAGGTACCAGGAGGCTTGGCGGTCCTTCGCCAACAAACTCCACAACCAAAGGGGTCAGTGCCCCCAGCGCCAGCCGTTGGATGCGCTGAACCGCTTCCTGTCCCAAATCAAGGACGGCCTCGCAGCAGGAACGCTAGAGGTCCTCGCCAGCGAGCGCAATGTCGGGAAGACCAGCAGCGAGGAAGGTGAGGGATCCCCTGCTGCCGTCTGGCAAAGCAACCCCCCAGCAGCTGCACCTGGCTGCGCCCCTGACGACGCCCCCCTCCAGCAATCCTCTGCAGCGACGCAGGCGGACGCAGAAACAAGGGAAGTGCCATCCCCGGACAGGTATGGATGCGGCAGCGGCGAATACGAAGTCGACTATGACGAGGGCAATCCACCAGACAGGACCGTCTCCATGGTCGCCAGTCTCACGCAACAGGCAGATGAGACCGACGTCCCCGACCCCAGTGATGACGATGCTCCCCGCGGTCGGACAGTCCTGTGGACACAGCCCCCACCAAAGGACGAGTCTGCCACCTGGACGCCGTTCGCTACTGCCCGCTCCCGGTCGATCATGGAAGAAATCGGTGACGGCAGAGATCTAAGAGGTGCGGGGAGCAAGTCAGAGCGCCGTCAGCACTCCATTCCTGAGGACGCCACACTTGAGCGCGATGCCCGTCCGCCACTCAGCTCACCTTGGCAGAGCCGCAGCCCGGACCGACGGCCCAGCCCGCAGGCAATCCCCCTCCCACCCGCGCGCCGAGACGACCCCCTTGGTGGACTTCCCATGTGCATGAAGCCCATCTCCGAGGCTGACGCTAGGGGTGACGAACCAGCCTCAGACAAGATCATCAGGCTTCAGAAGACGCTGGGAGGCGCATTCAACGGGGTATGGACCGCATGGGTTCGTAAGGCAGGCAGCAAGCACGGACGCCCGTGGGTCAACATCAAATCCGACCCCGACAAGAACGCGGTACAGCTATGCGAGGAATTTCTTCGAGCATGGGAAGAAGCAGGCTACGATGCCTACAAGATGGAAGTTGATCACCAGCTCCGTGTGGAGTGGCCGACAGTCATGGAGAAGCATCGCAACCTGTTACAGCGCGACGCAAGGACGCGT